TCCAGGTTCTGCCTCTCCATTAGGAGCAGGCCAAGTTGTGTCTGGTCTCAGAGACAGGAGCCTGGGTTTGCTACGCTGCCATCACGAACTATGGGGGAAGCAGAGATGCTGGGTCATTAACCAGCACCAGCCCCTGCACAGCTAAGGACACCACCTACCTGCAGATGCTTCGGGGGATCAACCCAGCCTCAGAGCAGAGAGCTCAGCTGTTGGGAGAGGGAGGATATGGGGAGGGTGACAAAGAGTGTGGGGAGCAGTGAGAGATGGGATATGAGGAGAGAGGCATGAGTTGGGGAGGGGCTTCAGGATGCTGAGGAACTGCATGGCATCAAGTGTAAGGTTTTCAGCAACTAGAAATTAGCAACTCTGTACCCCAAAACACTGGTGTTTCCTTCAAAGAGATAGGCCTCATGCAGTGCGCATGTGACAGTCAAAAGACTTCTGTGTAGAATGGTTTTTCTTATTATGCATCTTTAATAAGAGTTGTGAATCTGATCAAATCAAAAGGAAGAAAAACTGCCTGTGTACAGTTTGGGTGCGTCTAGACTGGCAAGATTTTGCCCAAAAGTGGCCGCTTTTATGCAAAAACTTGCCAGCTGTCTACACTGGCCGCTTGAATTTATGCAAGAGCACTGACTTTGCAATGTACAAAATCAGTGCTTCTTGCGCAAACACTTTCATGCTCCCACTCAGTAAAAAGCCCTCTTGCGCAAGAATACTTGCGCAAGAGGGCCAGTGTAGACAGGGAAGAATTGTTTTGCGCAAAAAAGCCCCGATGGCTAAAATGGCAATTGGGGCTTTCTTGCACAAAATCATGTCTAGACTGGCCACGGATGCTTTTGCGCAAAAGCACTTTTTGTGCAAAAGCATCCGTGCCAATCTAGACATGCTTTTGCGGAAATACTTTTAACGGAAAAACTTTTCCGTTAAAAGTATTTCTGCAAAATCATGCCAGTCTAGACGCAGCCTTTGTGTTTATGACGGGGCGCTTTGGCTCCGCACTATAGAACAGACTGTCGGCTGGGCCCAGCTGGCTGAGAGCACTCCGTTCCCATGGCCTTGCCAGGCATGCTCATTGGTGAGCAGGAGTATAAAAGGCCCTGAGACAGCTCACTCAGGGCTGACTGCTGAAGGGGAAGGACCTGCAGAGTGAGCTCCAGAGTGAGATGAGCCAACACAGCCAGAACCTGATACTACAGCGTCAGCCCCAGCCACAACTATTGTAGCCCCAGCCACAGCCCTGGAGGTGGGCTGGAGTTACAGCAGCGGAGAGAGGTGGGATGGTAGGAAGTGGCCCAGGGCGGGAAATTGAAAACCCAGAGGCTAGAGAACAGCTGTTCTTGCACAAAAACTTGCCAGGTGTCTACACTGCACTCACGTTCTTGTGCAAGTACATTTACAGTATAGTGTCGGAAAACAGAGCTTCTTCCAGAAGAGTTATTCCACTCCCCATGATGAAAAAGCCCTCTTGTACAAGAGCTCTTCCACAAGAGGGCAGTGTAGACAGGCAACATGATTTTCTTGCACAAGAAGCCCCTATGGTTAAAATGGCCATCAGAGCTTTCTTGCGCAAGAGAGCATCAGCACTGCCATGGATGCTCTTGCGCAAAAGCTCATCTCTTGCGCAAAAACACATGGCAGTGTGGACGTGCTCTTGTGAAAGACCTTTTGCACAAGAACTCTTGCACAAAACAGTTCTTGTGCAAGAAGCCTGCAGTGTAGACGTAGACCGAGTGTTTGGCATGTTGAGGGGGACGAACCCCTGGCTGAGCAAGCAGTGGACCGACCCACTGCCAATAGGCCCTGGCTGGGACCTGGTGGCGTCCTCTGGAGCAGAGGAAGTCCAGAGGCCTGTGGACTAGGCCTCAGGGCCATATTTATCCCAATATGGGGGGCAGCACTGCAAGAACAAGGCCTCAGGGCTGTATTCACCCCAATAGGAGAGCCTGACAAGGACTAGGCCTCAGGGCCGTGTATTCACCCCAACAGGGGGAGCTGGTGGACTAGACCTCAGGGCTGTATTCACCCCAATAGGGGAGCAACGCAAAGACTAAGCCCCAGGGCTGTATTTACAACATAAAGGAGACATCGCAAGGACTAGGTGGCAGGGCCGTATTTACCCCCAAGAGAGGGGCCTCTGGCAAAAACTGAGCTGCAGGACCATATTAACTCTGACAGAGGAGTGTTGGAGACTCGGATGCCGGCCGTTGGGCCACGCAGATCCTGATAGGTGGATCTGTGTGGGATTTCAACTGAGACCCCCCGCACAAGGGGGATGTGCCCTCAACAGTGTTAAATAATGATCCACATAATCTGAATCAGCTGTTTAGAAATGGGCATCTAGATCCCTATTTCTTTAAAATATCAACATAAGAAGAATTTTTATCACTAGAGAAAACATGTCTCTCTGTGGGCTTGTTTCTTTTAAATAGAACCTTTACAAGGGTGTTTATGGAACCCGCACACCTAGTGTGGTTCACCATAGTTACATTTACAGCAATATATGTGAGTAATTATAACACAGGTGCCACAAACTATAACTCAAATGATTAATGCAAGTCTTACCAAAGCATACCTCCAGGCAAGAGCACCAAGAGAAGAATATGGAAAAAATTGCAAACAAGGGTTTTCTCTCATTGCTTTCAATTCCTAGTGGCTCTGAGGTGCTACAGGTAGTAGTATTTTGTTTCACATTTTCAGACATTCCCCTCACATACCAGAGCCTAGGTGGGTCTGAGCTAGTAGAGTTTGCGGTTCCCCTTGCTTCTGGGATGGGGCAAAAATGAGGGGTTCAGTTGGTAGAAGGGGGCTGCTGGGAAGTGGGCTTGTGGGGTGGGGTCTGGGTGGGAGGGTGGATGCAGGAGTGGGTTGGGGATTGGTGGGTCTGGAATGGAGGTAAGGCGAAGGAGCAGTCTGGGATTGCAGGGTGGGTTGGGATGTAGGGTGCAGGAACACAGTGGCAGAGCCCATGGGGCCATAGGCTCCCCACCCCTGCTCAAGTCCTATGGAATGTCTCCATTTGCAGTGGGCAGTATCACATGCTCCAGAGGAAGAGACAAGGTCCCTTGCAGGAGCTGGCTATGGTGCAACTAGCCCACAGACTGGCACCATTCTAAAGCTAGGAACAAGCTGTGAAAATAGCAGGATCTTTGTCCCTCTAACATTGTCCTTCTGAACCAGGACGCTTGGTGTTCTATGCTAGTACAGTTCCCAACACAACTGGGCCCCTTTCTTGCTTGTGCAAACACAGGCAGGGAAGAAAACAGCCCTATGAAGAAAGCTCTGTTGGGAAATCCCAAATTAAGTATTTCTAACTCCTTGTTAAAAAAGAGAAAAGAAACAAATGGGGGAGGGGTGTTTCAGTTCCTCGTTCATCCCCCAACAGTTGGCTTATAAGAGAGCACTGCAGAAGTTTGCAAAGCTGGGTGTATAAATGTATGTGACTAAGACCCTTTGTGTCAGTGTAATATCAGGTTCCTTAATATCTGTATTATAAATCACATGTTTTTCCTTCACTTGGAATGGAGGGATCCTTCAAGCCATTTTTGGTACCGCAAGATTTTTCCTACTTTCACATTTTCCTTTCTACCTACTAGCCTAAAGACTTGGGAATCCTAGGGCCAGACCCTGCTAGGTACTTAGGTGTCTAACTCCCACTGAGATCTTTGGGGCTGGACATTTGTTCTCAGCAGAGGCCATCAATGCCAGTACAGCCAGAAGGATTGCTGATACGAGATACTTTTCCCTCTCCTCAAGTCTCTGTGAGCAGGGGATAAGGGCTGGTCTCCACCTATACCATTGCTCTCCAGTGCTATTCCTTTCCCAGGCTAGTCCGAAAGCTGAAGATTAAGGACCAGATACCCAGCTGGAATAAATCAGTGATTTCAGTAGAGCTACACTAGTTTGTTGGGTTGTGTAAAAAATCAATAGGTCTGAAATGGACTTCTCTGATGTATAAATATGCTATTTCCCTTCATTTCTGTGGCCTAGAAAAATAGATAAGCATGCAGCTGCTCTACTTTGTCTTTGGCTTATCCTCATTGGCTCTGCATAATACGTTTTCAGGGTCAAATTCCTTTTAATGCATGTGACCTGTTAGTTTGTAGTATAAGAAACTGTTGATTCAATTAGAAATTGCATAAATAGTAATTAATGGTGGGTATAATTGTGTTTCTTATTTGCGAATTAATATTGATTATATGGTAGTTAACATTACTAAATAAGGTTTTAGGAAAAGTAGTGATAGATGTGTGAATTAACACATTAAAATAGATAAAAGCATCTGACTAATGCCAATTTGTTGCCACTCGGACATCGTGTTGAATATCCGAGATAAAAGTTTGTAGGCAATAAAGTAGTTTCTTTTACCTCATCCGCCTCTGGGTCGCATGTTTCTTTTCTAACATAATTTACATCCACTGAGGATTGCATCCAAAGTTGAAAAGGTTTTTCTTCCCCCATACCCTGCATGGCCAATCAGGAGAGCCTGAAACAGTGTTGTTCAGGATTGCCTACTTTCATGAAGTATGCAAAATATTAACTATGGAAATTGAGTGAAGATAACATCCCTAGTAACAAGTCAGGAGCAACAAAGTACTGAGAGTCACAAAATAGCCCTTGATCAGAATAATAATACTTAGCACTTATCCAGAGCATATAGGCCACAGGAGAAGTGTCATTATTCCCTTATTGCATATAGGGAAACCAAGGCAGGGATGAAACATTTTGTCCAAGGTCACCTTGCAGCCCAGTGGTAAAGCATGGACTAGACTGTAAGTCTGTTGGATCCCAGGCCCGTGTCCCATCCTTGTGGACACACACCATCTCCAAAGACATAGCAGAAGTCAGAGGTGCCACAGTGAACTAGACAATCTTTGCCATTCAAAGCTGGGAGCTGCAGAGAGGGGCTGCTATTTAGCTGCTGAGACTGGCAGGAAGAGCAGCTGAGAGCTGCAAGGGGCGTTGCTCAGTTCTGGGAAGGGTGTGTCTTGAAGTGCTCTGAGTTGTTCTTCCCCTCCATCAGCAGACACAGGTCATCTCTAGTGCCAGTGGTAGGTCCCTGGGTTGCTACACTGCCAGCATGAAGGCTTTGCTAATCTTGGGGCTTTTCCTCCTGCCTCTGGCTGCTCATGGGAAGATCTACGAGAGGTGTGAGCTGGCAAGAGCAATGAAACGTCTTGGGCTGGATGGATACTGGGGCTACAGCCTGGGAAACTGTAAGTCTGCTGCCTTGGAGATATCCATGTGTCTCGGAGGGCGGGCACGGGGAGAGAAGGGGGATAAGCTGCCAGGCATCTGGTCTTTGACCGGAATGTCCGGTCAGAAATGGGACATGGCAATGTCCAGTGAGATGTAGTCACTGGAGACTAAGGCAATCAACCTGTTCCAGACAGGCAGCAGGATCCGAGTCAGACCATAGCTTCTGGCCCCGCCCTGGTGCAGAGGGAGCCCACCTGGAGGGTTGGGGATGGAGGATGAGAGTCTCCAGTAACAGGGAGATGACAGAGGGAGGGAGAAGAGTAAGTGATGCGGATTTGGGAGAAGAGATGGGACAGGACCTCGGAGACCTGGTTTTTAGCAATAAAAACGTTGGCATCCTTACCCCAAAAACTCTGGTGTTTCCTTCAGAGAGACAGGCCCCCTGTGGTGTGCATACGACAATATAAATTTGTACAGGAAGAATGGCTTTTCTTGCTATGCCTATTGAATAAGGGTTGTGAATCTAAATGGAAGCAAAACGGCCTGTGTGGGCTTTGTATTAAACAATCATTTGCATCAGCTACAAACAGGAGATACAGGGGCATTTAGATCCCTATTTCTGTTAACTATCAACCTATGAGGAGTTTTTATCACCGGAGACAATACATCACTCTTATGTTTTTAATGGAACTTTCACAGGGGTGTGCACAGCAAGATTCGAGAGCCAGTTTAACACGAGCGCCACGAACTATAACCGAGGTGACCAAAGCACCGACTATGGGATTTTACAAATCAACAGCCACTGGTGGTGCAATGATGGCAAGACCCCAGGAGCCAAGAACGCATGTGGCATCCAGTGTAGCGGTAGGTGCAATATAATGTTCCTATAAGGTACACTAAGATGGACTAATTTTGCCGTTTTGTGTGAGGCCTTAGCATTGCAAAGTTATAACAGCAGCCAGGTTTTTCCCCTTAGTAGCTCTAGGTTAAAAACGCCTTAATCTGTAGACAGAAGGCCAGATTTGCAATGTGTGGGGATGTATGTTTACTATAAAGGGGGAGGGGAGTTTCAAAAGATTTTTTCAAGCGGAATTGTGTTCCTTGTTTATCAGACTTTTTCTTGTAGGTTTCTTTAGTTTAAAAAAGTCCCTTTTGGAGAAGCATTTCTAATTCACCCCTATGTTGGTATGAGGACACTTTTTTATTATGAGACGATGACAGTCCCTGCTGTGTGGAAGGCCAGCACAAACGTCAGTTTGGGGGCATGCTCCATTTTAAAAACACATTTCAAAGTTTCTACTGTAAAGAGACGCAATCAACCTGAAATCTAGTCTATTTTTAAAAATAATTAAAAGTTGTTTCTGATTAAATAGCTGCAGATCTGTGCTGCTGTGCAGCTTAGAGGGAACCTTCGTCCACGTGTGTCCCTCCACCCCCCCACTCACCAGCTTCTCCCCGAACTCTCATGTGGTCCTAAACCCACTGTCTGTGTGTCTGTGCTCCATTCAGCCACTCTATTCCCAATGTAGCCCTGCAACCCTTTCCTCCTGTCTCATGTGTCCCGGCATCCCCCCATCCCATCCTCGGGTGGCTCTACACCTACCTCCATGTCCCCATGTGGTTCTGCTTGTCTCTTCCCCCTGTGACCAGGCACCTTCACTCTCCTTGAGCCCTTGCTCAAGTCTGTCCTCCTCCACCAGCCATGAGCCCTTGTCAGTGACTCCTCAGCAGCGCCATGCTGTCACTCCCCCCATGTCCCCTGTCTCCTGACCTGGCCCGACAGGCTTTGTGAAGAAGGTTCAAGAGGCTATTTCTCCTACCTACTTGGCCAGGAGAAGCAGCTCAGTTCTTCCACCACATTGCCCTTTGGTGAGTTAAAAGGCAGAAGTGCAATAACTTTCCAGCAGAAGCTATTTTCTGCATTAATTATGTGCATGCGTAGTGATGCAGGTTTCCCTCAGAAGTGTGTATTAGCTCTGGCCAGTACCACGTGGTTCAGTGGAAGATACAAGACACCTTTTGATAGTCATTTACGGTACAACTAGCCCACAGATTGACAGCATTCTAAAGCTAAAACCAAATTGTGTAACTATCATGATGTTTGACAGCACCACATTGTTTATTCTGCTTGTGGATTATATCCCTTTTCCCCACCCCACCTTTCTATTTAGATTCTAAGATCTTCAACACAATGGCATTGGCTAGTCTATGTAGATATAGTGCCTAACACCAGGGGGCCCTATTCTAAGTTGGTCCTTATATATTACCTTAAAAGAAAGATTAATAAATAATAAAGTTTAATTTCAGTTCCCATTTAAAGATGACTCATTTAAAATAACAAAGAGGAAAATGTTTTTCCCTGTCTCATAGCTCTATATTTCTTTTTTAGATTTACTGACAGCTGACATTACAAATAGTGTAAACTGTGCAAAGAGAGTTGTTCGCGATCCAAATGGCATGGCTGCATGGTACGTATGAAACCTCTTACTAGAACTGATAGACACACATTTGCATGTATACTTAGTGGCAGGCTAGTTAAAAAAAGAGAGAAACTACAATAATCTTTTGGATAAACAGGCTATCATTGAAATAATGAAGATTTTGCTAATAGAGATATGTTTATCATTAACATATTTAAACTCAGAATGAGTAAATTAAGGGTTCACAGAACAATATATTTATGTACATTGAGGAGTCTCAGTTATAGCTATAGTTAAAGGCCTTTGGACCTTTATAGCAGCAGTGAAGATAGAACTCAGATCTTTCTCCTCCAAAAACTCCCAACACACTGACCAAAAGAGACTGAGGGTATGTCTACACTACCCTCCTAGTTCAAACTAGTTTGAACTAGGAGGGTAGTGTAGACATACCCTGAGAGAGTTATTAAAGGTATAGGGTACAGGACATGCAATTGACCAGTTTTGATTCCATCCAGTGTAGGGCATTGGCACTGTGAATGGGCATCTTTGCCATCTGCTATAAGCAACAGTCCAGGTACCCTGTGTAGGTTCACAACTCAGGCACTTCTGGGGTCTGACTTGTCCAAAGAAAAGTAAAATGGCACAAACCAACCAATAGACTGGACTAAACCCTCTCTGGACTAAACCTTGGCCGACCTGAGAGCTCCTATTCAGGACCACTTAGGTCCCTGCAGCCTCAGATCCAAGATCCCTCCTGAGATGGGCTCTGAAATCTGCTTCCTTCCTTTTAATTCCCTCCAGACTTACTACTGCTAACAGGTGAAATGGGACCAGCTTCAGCTTCAGGCTACGTCTAGACTGCAGGCTTCTTTTGGAAAAAGCTTTTCCGGAAAGGATCTTCTGAAAAAACTTATTCCAAAAGAAAGCGACCACACTGCAAAACGCATCAAAAAAGCGCTCTGCTTTTTCAACAGATAGGGTGTGTCTAAACTACATGGCTCTGTCGATGGAGCCATGTAGATTAGGCTGATCGGCAGAGGGAAATGAAGCCACGATTTAAATAATCGCGGCTTAATTTAAATTTAAATGGCTGCCGCGCTCTGCCAACCAGCTGATGATCAGCTATTTGTCGGCAGATCGGGGCACACTGAATGGACACTATCTCGCAGGTAAGCTGTGATAGCTATGGGTGGAATGGACACCAGGGCACCTGTACTTTTTCCTCTTTTCCCTTCTTTCGAAAGAACTCCCTCTTCCCTGTCCACACATGCCTTTTTTCGAAAAGGCTCTTTTGGAAAAAGGCTTCTTTCTCATAGAATGAGGTTTACCAATGCCGGAAAAAAACCCTCTGTTCTTTCCATTTATTTTCGAAAGAACGCAATTGCAGTGTGGACGTTACTCAGGTTTTGTAGGAAAAACGGCCATTTTTCTCACAAAACTCTGTAGTGTAGACGTAGCCTCAGTCTTCAGGACAGACAATTAACATCTCCCTGCCCAGATTCAGTGGGGGATTTGCTCCACTACAGCAGCATAGACAATCTTCTACTGAGGGAAATGTATTTGCTGAGTATCTGAGGTTCCCAGGAGTTCAAAGACCCAGTTCAAACACTTCATGTGGCAGTGAGGACTCAACTTAATCATGGTTCTCTAGCAGCTTTACCCCTCCAGCTGGAGCTAAAATGGAATCCGCATTAGTTCTATTCGGGCAGGATAGCGCTTATGGCACAAAATTGAACGAATGTGATTCCATCCAGCAGAAAGCAATGTCCCAGGCTGCAGCTTCCGATTTTCCTTTGGGGTGTTCAAACCCTGCTCAGCCTCAGGCCCTGTCCCCTCTCCATCCCTTCCCCGGACCCCCAAATCCCACCCTGCTTCTTCCCACCCCTTCTCCAGCTCTACCCCCGCCCCCATTCTACCCTTTACCTCATAGCTCCAGTCTGGCCACCTCTTCCTACTCCTGCTCCACCTCCACTTCCCTTTTCCCCCTTCTCTTTCTGCTGTCCCCACCTCACCCAGTGTGCCCTATCCCTGCTCCTCTGCCTCCCTCCTAGTGCCTCCTGCATGCAGCAGAAGAGCTGAGCTGTTGTGGGCAGGAGGTGCTGGGAGTGACCGGGAGGAGTTGATCCGCAGCGGTGTTCACAGATTGGACGTTTGGAAGGAGGGAGAAGCTTCTATTTTTTTCCATTTGTGCTCCAGGGCCCACTGAGTTGGTCCCTATGAGCAGTGTCACTAACTCAGCACGTTTCTGTGGCAGGAATACCAACCTATTGGCAACCTTTTAGGAAGTGTTGGAAGACTCAGGATTTCTCCAGTCGGGCATAGCTCTGGGATCCAGCTGGGCCCTTCAGACTAGCCAGGTGCTCTTCTGGGATTGGCCAGTAGCAAATTACTTGTTATATTAGCTTAGCACTCCACAGAAAAGTCAAATGTACATAAATGTGAAGTGGCTGGTTTTGTTCTTGGGTGAGGGGACATTGGGTGAGTTTGCCATAATCAGCTAACATGATTTTTTACTCACGTAGGGTGGCATGGACAAGGAACTGCAAAGGACGAGATGTCTCCCAATGGATCAGGGGCTGTGGGGTCTAAAGTGTTGGGGTTTATCCCAGCCTGGTTCCTTTATAAATAAGGAGCTTTTCACATAGAGCAAATGATTCCCTTCACTTGCTTCCCTTTTACAATTAATCATGTTCACAATAACACAAACTCGGGGCAACTGACTGGGGAAATGCAAATATTTTACTGCATGCTAGATCTTTCCATGTGACCAGCTGCAGTAACGTATTTTCAGTTCTACACAGTTTAAAATATTGCTTATTATCTCTCTATTCTATATACACATAAAAATAAGCCAGATCAATTTTTCCTATGAAATCCTGCTAGTACTTTGTTCTGCCAGTTAATGTTATGTATTATTGCTTGAGTGTTCACATTCACTATAATCAATAAAAATGCTTCATTTGTGCAAAGTTTTGTGATTATTGGATAATAAAGAGGAGAAACTAAATAAGAGACTCTGCACTTGGGCCCAAGTCCTCATATATATTTAGTCTCCTAATTTTCATTGATGTTCATTCAATGGACTTTAAGGCCTTGTCTTCATTAGGATTTTACCCTAAATGTAGTTACACATGGTCAATTTTCTAATTGATGCGGCCACACTTCCAAGCCTGTTGCATCGACTTTACAGCCCACAGAAGTTATTTCAATGTTCCTGCTTTTCACAAGCAGTAACGCTGTTTCGGACCTTGTATGGTCAAGTTTACAGTAGTGTAGATGCAGCACTGGGTGAAAGTTGAGGCCTCCCACAGTTCCTTGCTTTGACTGCTCTGGCTACAACTTGCACCACTACTGCTCTCCAGGTGATCAGAAAAAGCCCCAGGAAAAGTTGAATTGTATTTCCCCTTCCGGCCAGCGATGTGAGCATCCCTCAGAGTGAGTGGCACATGTGGACATGACTTCGACTAATTCTAGTAACTCTGCAATGAGTTCAAATAATTCTACTCCCATCGGCTCCAATTCCCAGGGTGCAGAAGAGTGCCAACATGGAGTGTTCAGGAGATCTTGGAGTTCATCAAGGCATGGGCAGAGGAATCCATCCTTACTGAGCTCTGAGCCAGCAAGAGGGATGAGGAAATTTACAGCAAAATCACAAGCTGCCTGGTGGCTAAAGGCTATTACAGGGATGCCCAGCAGTGCCAAGTCAAAATCAAAGAGCTGAGGCAGTCCTACCACAAGGCAAAGGAGGCAAGTGGATGGTCTGGTGCAGCACCTCATGCATGCTGCTACTATAAGTAGCTGGATGCTATGGCGGTGGAGGGGGGTGGGGGAAGCCAGCTTCCCCCAGCATGACCATGGTCTTGCCAAGACTATAGGCCGCATGCAGCCCACTAGGGTTCCACCTGTAGCCTGTGTACTTCCTGTCTATCCCCTGCCCACATACCTGCTGATGGCAGAGTGGGAGATGAAGGAGGAGGCTGGTCAGCCAGTGATCCCTGTGAGCCAGGAGCTGTTCATGATGCTGGAGCCAATACCCTCCTCTCAGGATATCTCCTAGTCCACCACTGACCATGGGGAGTTCACTGATCTGGCCTTTGCTCTCCTGCCCGAGTTTGAACAGCAAACAGTGGATCTGCAGTGTTGCAGTTCTGGGAGAAAGGGGGGAAGAGCAGGGACAGAGTGTGAATCAGTGGATTCATGGTGTCCCAAAAATGCTGGAAGGGAGGAGGAGGAATAGGAAGTGCAGGGATGTTAGGCAGCGTGTAACAGCACAAAATACAATCAGTTACACGATTATTCGATAGCTCCGGGGTGGGCCAGAAGCCAGTGCACTCCCAGTTCCACTCCTGGGGAGCCCCCTGCCATCCTGCTCTGCTGCCTCTGATACAGAGGTAGCAGCTTGGGGTGGCTGCAGCTCCTGTCCGTGAGGGGCCCAAGCTCAGCATCCCACTGAGCAGCCTCTGTCTGCAGTGAGCCCAGGCTCCCTTCACCCTCTGTGCTGCCGCCTCCCTATCACAGACAGCCACACGGAGGAAGGGAAGATGGCTCCATGGGATCTGGTCATGGGAAGTTGGTGCGGCTGGGGCTGGGGGATGCAGGTCCCCAGCCCCACCTGCAGCCTTGTCCCCTCTGCTGAGGCCCCACCCTCCTGGGAGGCAAGGAGGCAGGGCAGCATGCCAAGCACTCCCCAGCCTCCCCAGAGGACCACAGAGGGGCAAAGAAGCAGGGCAGCGTGCTGAGCACTCCCCAGACTCCCCGGAGCACTGGAGAGAGGAAGAGAGGGAAGGGGTGTGTGCGCGAATCACGGTTCCCATAGCAGAAGGGTAGGGGAGGAGGTGGTTCCAGATTCCCCGGCCAAGAGCACAGGGGGGCTGGGCACTGGGAACAGCAACTTTCTGCCCCCAGAATGCCTACAATAGGTGCTCTGGGGGTGGAGTGTGGATGTGGCCAGGCTGGTGGTTTATCCCTTGCCCAAACCACCGGATGCCCCTGGATCTGGTGCTCGTGAGGAGCAGGCTTAAAAGTCAGATCCCCAGAGGCAGTGGATCCCACCTTCCCCCCCACTGATACAGAGGCAGCAAGGGGTTGGAATGCATGTATTCAACAGGATTAATCAATAAATCCAGGCTAATTGGTTAATCGTATACTCGTCTACACATTGGCATCACTAGACTCCACTGCCCCAGTGCGTGAGAAACATGTGGGCAGGGGACAGACAGGAAGTGCACAGGCTACAGGTGAAACCCTAGTGAGCTGCATGCGGCCTATAGGCTGCAGGTTGCTCACCACTGCACTAGGCATATTTACTAATATACACAAGTTCAGCAAACGTCGGCAGTGCTCTGTTATGCAACTGGTAGCAGATAAACAAGGAAATGGAACTATGTTTGTTTTGCCTTTACAAGTAGTTAGAAATAGTAATTTGGGATTTCCCAAGAGGCCTTTCTTAATAGTGTTGCTTTTTTTCCCAGCATGTAGTTGCACAATTCTCCTGATTAAGATGCAAATCAATAAGCCGTGTTCTGGGGTGGACTTTGTTTTCAACATCTAGAAATTACTGGTGTAATAAGATACAACTCTAGGTCTGGAGAGAATGGAACATTGTAGCTGTATTTGTTTTGTGGAAACTGGAACCCATGCCATATACAAGCTATCTATGGCATTTATATGGCTCCTACCATTGATGTATGCGAGTGTTGCATGCCGCCTCCATGAGATCAGGAACAATGTCACACAGAGACCAAATGACGGAGGAAATCTGTGGCTGAAGATGGCAGTGGGTTCCCAAGCCAATTCCCCAACCTCTGGGACATTCTTGCTTTTGTAGTAACAAAAAAAATCTGAAGGAAGGAGTCTCTACCCATTTGGATAGAGCTTTAGTTTTAAGTGTTGGGATTTTACAACATCTAGCCCCTCATTCAAAAGAATTATTCCAGAGAAAAAGAGTTGTGCATGTGACTTACAATCTAGTCCAACCTTTGCAACTGAACTACAGTGCAGCAAGGGGATAATGACATCTCTCCTGTGGCCTAGATGCTCTGTATAATTACTAGGTAAGATCTTTCCAGGAAGTATTGAGTTCTAGATGTTCCAGGTTCTGCCTCTCCACTAAGAGCAGGCCGGGTTGTCTCTGGTCTCAGCGACAGGAGCCTGGGTTTGCTACACTGCCAGCACAAACCCTTTGCTGTTGGGGGAGGAAGGATATGGGGAGGGTGACAAGGAGGGTGGGGAGTAGTGAGCTCCCTGACTGTGGTGTACTTTCCTAGATCAGGGCTCTGGTTATAGGCAAAAAAGAGGGCATGGTTTGCATGAGCAACATTCTCCCAATGAGCGAGAAAGAGATGGCCAGATATGAGGGGAAAGCAGAGATGGCAAGCCAGGTAATTTCTCTGAATTAATGCCTGTTTGAACTGCAGCATGTCTTTTAGGGAAAAGATCATCTCTCGGAGAAAAACATCCCATCTTGAGCACACTTAAGATGGACTATTGTGGGGGTCAGCATTTAGGTCATGGAAACACTGTGTTGTCAGAGCCTGTGGACTCATGGTTGTGTGTCCCCATTCCTTTCTCTCTAGCTTACTTAACATTGCACCAACCTTTCATTTCACATCCCTCCAGGATTTCCTGGGGCTTCTCACCTCTGTCTACTAGTTCAGTCATTCCCAGTTCTCCGTCAACTCCCAGCCAGAAGTAGGCTGTTGGTAATAAATCTTTCAATTAGATCTGGTCCAAAAAAAAATCCAACAGAATTTTGAGGAAAAAAATTCTCGTGCTTTTTCCAGTTTTTAACCAGCCGCAAGCTTGAAAATTCTAAAAATAAGGGATGGGTTAGAAGGGTGTAAGCATATGTCTAACCTCCTCTGTGTGTGTAGCATGAACATAATACTAACTCAGCTGGATCAGCTTTGTTTCAGATACATCCCTCTGACAGTAAATTCATCATTATGTAGCCTGCTAGGAGATTCAAGACATTCTCCTTGAATTTGTTGGGTCCTTCAAAGTATTGTTGGGTCCTTCAAAGTATTTGAATGCTTCAATATCTTTGATATAGGTGAGAGGATTATTCTAAGAGGGGTGGTTGAGATTCTGTGGCCTGCACTGTGCAGGGGGTCAGACTAGATGGTCATAATGGTCCCTTCTGACCTTAAAGTCTATGAATCTATGAATCTATGAATAATTCGAACTAAGTTAGTTCGAATTAGCGCTGTAGTGTAGAAATACCCAGCCATAGTGTAAATTGTGCAAAGAGAATTGTTCATGATCCAAAAGGCATGGCTGCATGGTATGTATGAAGCCTCTTACTAGAACTGATAGTGACATATTTGCATGTATACTTAGTGACAGGCTAGTTAAAAAAAGTGAGAAACTACAATAAACTTTTGGATAAACAGGCTATTATTGAAGTGATGAGGATTTTGCTGATATAGATAAGTTTATTTATTAACATATTTGAATTCAGAGGCTATGTCTAGACTGGCATGATTTTCCGCAAATACTTTTAATGGAAGAGTACTTTTTGCGGAAAAGCGTCCGTGCCAATCTAGACGCGGTTTTGCGCAAGAAAGCCCTAATCGCCATTTTCACATTCCGAGCTTTTTTGTGTAAAACAGTTTTTAGCTGTCTACACTGGCCCTCTTGCACAAATACATTTGCGCAAGAGGGCTTTTTCCCGAACGGGAGCAGCATAGTATTTGCGGAAGAACACTGACAATCTTACATGAGATCGTCAGTGTTCTTGCACAAATTCAAGCGGCCAGTGTAGACAGCTGGCAAGTTTTTCCGCAAAAGCAGCCGATCGCCCAATGGATCAGAGCCTGTGGGGTCTAAAGTGTTACGGTTTATCCCAGCCTGGTTCCGTTATAAATAAGGAGCTTTTCACGTTAAATCATGGTTCTCTAAAAGCTTAGCCCCCTCCAGCTGGAGCTAAAATGGAATCCGCATTAGTTCTATTCGGGCAGGATAGCG